CTCCTCACTGATTATCACGCATATAGTCTGAAGTTGACATATCACAATGTATCCTCTCTCTTCCAAGGTCCCAATTTTACCCTTAACCTATCTAGTCAACCAAAGTCGCTCATTAGGTCATCTGATAAATATTTACTGAGAACCTACAATCGGTCAGGCAATGTCCTAGGGGCCATGGGTATAGTAGTGAACAGATAATTTCACCCCATTTCACTGAAAAGACAAGGAAGTTTAGTGAGCTCCCATTCATTGTCCCTGCATCTCAATGAGTTTATATGTGTCCACATATACTAGGTCAAACTCCAACTCCATGAAATCTTCTCTGACCAGTTTGGGCCATGGGTCTCACAACAACTCTGATTTTCTGAAACATTCTGTCATTAAGCCACTACATGTTTCCTATCTATACATGTATTTTCTTTTTTTTTTAATTTTCTAATGTTTATTTATTTTTGAGGAGAGAGAGATAGAGTGTGAGTGGGGGAGGGGCAGAAAGAGAGGGAGACACAGAATCCAAAGCAGGCTCCAGGCTCTGAGCTGTCAGCACAGAGCCCGACGCGGGGCTCGAACTCATGAGCTGTGAGATCATGACCTGAGCTGAAGCTGGACACTTAACTGACTGAGCCACCCAGGCGCCCCTCTATACATGTATTTCTTATGTCTGCTATTGCTTTGAGTTAGTATTTTAAAAAAATTTTTTACATTTATTTATTTTTGAGAGACAGAGAGATACAGAGTGTGAGCAGGGGAGGGGCAGAGAGAGAGGGAGACACAGAATCAGAAGCAAGCTCCAGGCTCTGAGCTGTCAGCACAGAGCCTGATGCGGCACTTGAACCCACGGACTATGAGATCATGACCTGAGCTGAAGTTGGACACCTAACCGACTGAGCCACCCAGGTGCCCCGTGAATTAGTATTTAAATACTTCACTGCCATCTGACTGTTCACATATGTCTGCATTTTCTCCTCAACTAAATTAAAAGTTCTTTGAAGTGAGAAACACATGACCTGATATAGAATTATATAAGAAGTCCCGAAAAGGTATAAAAGTAAATCATATTTAACAACTCACCTTTCTTGAAAAGAATATTACTAAATACAGTCTGTCAGCAAAGTTTTATGAACTATAGAAACTGAATTGGTTACAAACAGTAACTAGATTGTTTTATATTAAGATGTTAATTGGAACCCCCAGGGCAACTTCTAAGAAAATAACAAAAAATATATAGTAAAAAAAAAACAAGATTAAGAGAATTTAAATGGTATCTAACACAAAAGAAGGCAGTAAGGGAGAAATAGAAGAAAAAAAGAACGTAAGACATATAGGAAACAAATACTAAAATGATAGGCATAAATCCTACCATATCAGTAATTGTATTAAATGTAAATGGATTAAATGTTCCCAATCAAAAGGCAGATATTGGGAAGAATAGATTTTTTTTTAACGTTTATTTTTGAGAGAGAGAGAGAGAGAGAGTGGGGAGGGGCAGAAAGAGAGGGAGGCAGAGGATCCTAAGGGGGCTCTACACTGATACTAGAGAGCCCGATGCAGGGCTTGAACTCACGAACCCTGAGATCATGATCTGAGCCAAAGTCAGATGCTTAACCAGTTAAGCCACCCAGGCACCCCAGGCAGAATAGGTTTTTTAAGCCATCCAATTCTGTGTCTGCTGGAAGCCAAGCTATCCCAGCCTGAGTGGCAGGGCCCGGGCCGTGGACGGATTGGTGACTGCAGGGCAGCCCACAGACAGTGAAGCTTCTTGTCCTCCTGCTTTTAGGTAATTTGGCCTTAAAACTACCTGGGGTTTTGTCTGGTGGGGAACTGCTCTCGACAGGCCCTCTATTAAAGAAGAACCGTTAGGAAAGAAAATAAGGTGTCGCAAAAAATTGTGCAGCCTTACGTTTAGCCCTTGCCATCCCCCGTGGAGACTCCTCTACTTGCAGGAAGGATAGCCCTATACATTTGCCAGCAAAGGCAGCCAACTAAGGAGAGACATATGGATTTGAAAGCCCCACTCCGGCAACTAAGGAGTGTATCTCTGGGCACAGGTGACTTCAACTCCTAGGCCCACCTGGCCCCCCGGAGGCATTCCAGATGATGACTGAAGCTAGTCGGTTAAGGTACAGAATGGTTCCTTGGTTCCTAGGTGAATTGTCTCTCTGAGAATGTATGAGGCGTGGGTTTCTAAGTCTTTTTCAGCCCCTTTCTGGCACCCCGGACCGAGGTAAACACATTGTTCTTCTGGCCTCATGTGGTTAGGAGGTCATGTCCCTGTAACTGTTCCACTTGAGGTGTTGAGAAACGGAGGGCCTTTCACGAGAACAGCAAAGCGAATGTTTTGTAGATTATAGATAAATGCAGATGCATAATGGAATAATGTAAGAAATTAATCAGTAATCAAAGGGTATGCGGGAAACTTAGGGGAAAAATCACCATGTTATTTCTTAAAGGTTGTTTACACATAGGAATATTTTCAAAATTAGGTAATGTTAGAAAAACACAGATGGCGTATGTTACAAGGAAATCACTAGCATATATCATGCCACGTTCACTACAACAAATCGGCCAGTTCAACACACTGCTGTTGTCTGTGTCCATGTTTATTTTTTGTTTTTATTTTAGTTTTGTTTTATTTTCACCTTTTCGCTGACGCCGTTCATCCTTCGGGAACCCCTGGACCTGCTGGAGCCGGACTCTGGCATATGTCTATGTGACATATACTTTAAATTCAGAAACATGAATAGGTTAAAAGTTAAAAAGATGTAAAATAATATACCATGCAAACAGTAACCAAAAGAGTTGGAGTCCTATATTATTATCAGATAAATTGACTTCAAGACAAGGATTTTATGATGATAAAAGGGTCAATCTGTCTGTCAGAAAGACATAACAATTACAAACATATATGTATCAAATAAGAGAGTCCCAAAATACATGCAGAAAAATTTACAGAATTGAGGAAATACATAATTCAGCAACAATAATTTCAATAACCCATTTTCAATAATGGATAGAACAATTAAGCAGAAGATCAAAAAAGAAATAAAAGACTTGAAAAACAACATAAACCAACTGCACCTAACAAACATTGATAGAACACTCCATCCAACAACAGCACAAAAAACTAGGAATAAAAGGGGACGTCCGCATCAACCTGATGAAGGCTATCTTCTAAAATCCCACAGCTAACATCATACTTAATGAAGAAAGACTAAATATTTTCCCCTATGATCACGAACAAGACAAGAATGTCTGTTCTAATCACATCTAGTCATTATACGGGAGGTTCCAGCCAGAGAGATTAGTCAAGAAAAGGAAACAAAGGCATCCAGATTGGAAAGAAGTGAAACTGTCTCTATTCACAGGTGGCAGCATCTTGAATGTAGAAATTCCCAAATAATCCTTTAAAAATTATATTGAAATAATAAATGAGTCAGCAAGTTTGCAGAATAGATCAATATGAAAAAGATTAAATGTATCTCTATACACTATGAACAATACAAAAATGAAATTTAAAAAATTCCATTTATAGTAGCATCAAAAAGAATAAAATACTTAGGAATTAATTTAATAAAAGAAGTGTAAGGATTATACAATGAAAACTACAAGGCATCACTTAAAAAACTTAGAGAGGGATCTTAAAGTTATGTTAAGTTATGCTTCCACTTGTAGTGCTTTAGATCATATAATATTTTTTTTTAAATGAGGGGTACCTTGGTGGCTCAGTCAGTTAAGCGTCCCACTTCGGCTCAGGTCATGATCTCACTGCTCATGAGTTTGGTCATGATCTCACGGCTCATGAGCTCAAGCCCCATATCAGGCTCTCTGCTGTCAGCACAAAGCCTACTTCAGAGTCTCTGTCCTGCTCTCTCTCTGCCCCTCCCCTGTCTCTCTTCTTTTTGTCTCAAAAATAAATAAACATATTTTTACATTTTTTTTCACATTTATTTATTTTTGAGAGAGAGAGAGAGAGTGAGCAAGGGAGAGGCAGAGAGAGGGGGGGTGACACAGAATCCGAAGCAGCTCCAGACTCTGAGCTGTCAGCACAGAGCCTGACATGGGGCTTGAACCCACAAGCTATGAGATCATGGTCTGAGCCAAAGTCAGACTCTTAACCGACTGAGCCATCCAGGTGCCCCAATAAACATTTTTTTTTTAAAAAAGAAATAAACCTATATCTCTATGGTCAATTGATTTTTGACAAGAGTGTCAAGACCATCCATTGGGGAAAGAATAGACTCTTTAGCATCCTGGACACCTGGATATCCATGTGCAAAAGAATAAAGTTGGACTCCCTACCACACAATATACAAAAATCAACTAAAAATGGATCAATTACCTAGAGAGCTAAAACCACAAAACTCCTAGAAGAAAACCTAAGGGTAATCTTTATGACCTCAGATTTAGCAACAGATTCCTGGAGATGACACCAAAAACATGAGTAACAAAAGAAAAAATGTATAAATTGGACTTCATCAAAATTAAAATCTTTTGTGCATGAAGGATATTATCAAGAAAGTGAAAAGACAACGTACATAATGGGATAAAATAGGATAAAATATGTGCAAATCGTATATCATATAAAAGTCTAGAATGTGGAATAAGCGAACTCTTACAAATCAACAATAAAAAGACAACCCAAGTTAAAAATGGGCAAAAGACTTGAACAGACATTGCCCCAAGGAGACACATGAATGGCTAACAAGCACCCGAAAAGATGTCGATATCATTAGGCAATGGGGAAATACAAATTGAAACCACAAAGAGATACCACTTCACCCCCACTAGGATGGCTATCATCAGAAAGATAGATAACAAGTGTTGGCAAGGATGTGGAGAAATTGGGACATTCATGTGTTGTTGGTGAGTAAGTAACATGGTGTGATTAGTTTGCCAAAGCAGTTCTTTAAAAAGTTAAACATGGTGTTGCCATGTGACCCGGCAATTCTACTCGTAGGGATGTACTTAAGGGAAATCAAAACAATTGTCTGCACAAAAACTTGTACATGAATGTTTTATGGCAGCATTATTTATAATAGCCAAAGAATAGAAACAATGCAAAAGTCCATCAACAGACAAACGTATCAACAACATGTGGTTGGTATACCAATACAATGGAATGTTTGGGGCCATAAAAAGGAACGAAATAATGCTATATGCTACAACATGGATGAACCCTGAAAACACTATGCCAAGTGAAAGAAGCCAGACATGATAGGTCACATATTGTATGATGACATTTCCATGAAATCTTTTCTATTTGCAGGAACTGACAAAGTTCCAACTTTGTCCTTTTTCAAGATTATTTTGGCTGTTTGGAGTCCTTTGCATTTCCATCTGAGTTTTAGGATCATCAGCTTGTCCGTTCTGCAAATGGAATAAGATTGCACAGAAACGAAATCAATAGGTTGCCTGGGTGGTTCAGCCAGTTAAACTTCTGATTCTTGACTTCAGCTCAGGTCATGATCTTGCAATTCATGAATTCAAGCCCCACTTCGGGCTCTGTGCTGACAGCGGAGCCTGCTTGGGATTCTCCTTCTCAGCCCCTCTCCTGCTAATGCTCACTCTCCGTCTCTCTCTCAGAATAAATACATAAATAAAAACCTTAAAAATAAATAAATAAAATCAATTTTGCTAACAGGTAAATCTATAGAGCCAGAAAGTAGATTAGTCGTTATCAGGGGCTCAGAGACTTGTCAGAGTGGAATAGAAAATGGCTGCTAATGGGTACAGGGTTTCCTGTTGGGATAATGAAAATGTTCTAAAATTATATAATGGTAATGGTGCACAACTCCATGAATGTGCTTAAAAACCACTAAATTGTAGACTTTAAAAGGGTGAATTTTATAGTACATGAACTATATTTCAATAAAGTTGTCATTTTTAACATCCCATCCTGGGAAATGAGGATGATATAGTTGTATTCCCACACAATCTATAGTAATATGCCTTGTACATAGAGGCGCCAAAAATATGTATGTAGATGAGTGCACATGACACTTCCTGTTCACAAATTGCTCCAAATATTAGTTGAAGCTTTTCAAATGGGTCAAACTCCTTGAGGCATAGCCCATGCCTTACACACCGCGAATACTCATTACGGTTAGACGTTGCATTGTGATTTCATTGAGCCTGGAGATAATCACATCCATGGTGGGTAGTAATGCTTAGTACCTTGTATGACCTACGACTCCTGATTATTCAGGAGGCGGCGCTGTGCAGTGGACTCTGGAATCAGACTAGGTTTAAATCCAACCTCTGTTGGGCGCCTGGGTGGCTCAGTTGGTTAGGTGTCCGACTTCGGCCAGGTCATGAACTTATGGTTCCTGAGTTGGAGCCCCGTGTCAGGCTCTGTGCTGACAGCTCAGAGCCTGGAGCCTGCTTCAGATTCTGTGTCTTCCTCTCTCTCTGCCCCTCCCCCGCTCATGCTCTGTCTCTCTCAAAAAAATGAATAAACATTAAAAAAAATTGTTTTAAATCCAACTTCTATGACTTAATATGATCTTGAGTGAACGACTTAACCTCTGTGAGCCTTGGTTTCCTCGTCTGTTAGGACAGGATTGATAATAGTAACCACCTTTGAGGGCTGCGTGAGGCTTAGATGACGTAAAACGTGTAGAGCACCTACGTGACCTGTAAAAAGTGCTTATCATTCATTCATTGAGCTGCTCAGCATTCATCGAACACTGGTTTTAATTCTCTGCCCACCAAGGATAGAAGTAGAAGAAAACTGTGTAAACAAATCAATACCATAAAGTGCTCTGGGGCTCTGAAAGGCACAAGAGGGAATCCCAAGGGACACGGTGTGTATGTGAGATGGGGCAGGAGTACAGGATATCAGGAAAAGTTTTATGGGAGAAGTACCACCAGAATAGAGTGTTTATTTAACGTTGTTTTTTTTTTTTAAGAGTTATTCCCTGGATTGAGGGAAATAGGGAAATAGGACATTCTAAGGAGAGAATGATAAGGGGAAAGCATTATTTGTTCAGGGAGTTGTGATGAGCTCAGCACAATGGGACCCAAGGGGAGGTACAGAAAAGTCCAGAGAAGCAGGAGCCAGATCACAGAAAGCCTTGTTTTTCCTCCTTCATCAGGGCAGACTGAATCACCTGGCACCTGGGAATCCTCCTCCCCACTCCAGAAAAGGCATTTTCTTTGGGTGGTTTTGCTTCTAAAGGCCATAGAGCAAAATAGAGGAAGGACTGAAACTTTGAGACCGCTTGAATATTTCCAAAGTATTCTAGTAATTTTAATGCTGACAAGGCCAATCATTTATTGATCAGCCATCACTGAACACCCTTAGGCTTCAGGACAGCTATTAGGAGTGACCAGTGTCCTTAATAAATGCAATTGCACTTTGCATGAGCCCAGTTTCCCTGGCATGCTCCCAGCATGCACTATTCCTGCACTGGGCACCAGAAGGGCTAAAACAAGATGGCAGCTCCCAGAGGAGTGCCCTCAATTACCCACAAGCATCTGGGCATAAGTTCTCATCATAGGTGATTATGGCCACGGGTTAATCTAGTGGTTCCTCCAAATTAATAGCCTGGAGTATTGAAGAAGCCAGAAGTGACCACAACACTCTGAGTTTTTGGAAAAGCCCAGCTGGCTGAGTGTCAGTCTTCCGTTAGACCAAACCTTGGTGTGTTGTTTAACCACATCACCCTTTCCTGGAATCCAGCCCTTTGGCTGACACTCTTCTGTGGAGACACAGTGTCCCTCTTGCGGCTCAGAAATACCATTTAGGCTTTTCTTCTGCCTCAGCATTCCCATTTCTCATTCTTTCAGCTTCTTCCAATCCATTCTTCTCTTCTCTTGGGCATATGCTCGGTCTTTCCGCACTCATTTCTTCAAATTATTTTCCCTTGAGTTGTTTTGTTTTTTTTATTTTCCTTCAAAAGACCTGACGTCTGTTTCTTTCCCTGCTCCTTGATTTTTCAATTTCTCTCTCTTCCCCTGTGCCCTCCTCCCTCTTCTCCCACTTCCTGTCTTTCTTTTACTCTTTAATTGGCCTCAAATGAAAGCAAAAAAAATCACTGTTTCATGACACGCTCAGCAGGTTCTTTTGTTTGGTTCATGTTTTTTCTAATTACTTGTTTTTATGTCATAAGCACCAATGAATCTACTAATCATTGAAACAAAAAAAAGGGATCACAACAATAACCCTACAGCAAACCATTTTGTAGCCCACTACCCCATCCCCCCGGCCCCTCACCAGGGTAGCTACCATGCCGAATCTTGGGCATCATCCCTCCTTTTCTTTTAATACGGATGAATTGTATCAATGTGTAATGTTCAATTCTTTTTACTCTAGAGGAGCCTGGGTGGCTCAGTCGGTTGAGTGTCCAACTCTTAATTTGGCCTCAGGTCACGATCCTAGGGTCATAGGATCAAGCCCCGAGTCTGGCTCCATGCTAAGCATGGAGCCTGCTTAAGATTCTCTCTTGGTGCCTCTGTCCCTCTCTCCCACATGTGCTCGCTCTCTCTCAAATAAAAAAAAATTTTTTATTATTCTAGTTTTTTTGCTTTATGAAAAGATTCATGCTTTTTCTTTGTTTTAGCTTTATTTTATAAACGTTTTAATCTTGAAATAAGTTCAAACTTACAGAAATGTCAAGGATAGTACACAGAACTTTCATATAGTTTATACACACACACACACACACACACACACACACAGAGAGACAGAGACAGAGAGTTGGGACTCCTGGGTGGCTCAGTCCTTAAGCATCAGACTTTGGCTCAGAGCATGATCTCCCAGTTTGTGAGTTTGAGCTCTACATCAGGTGAGCTTGTGCCCCACTTTGGGTGAACACGAGCCCCACTTTGAGTAAAACATGAGCACCCCTTCAGTGAGCCGTACTTCTCTCTTTCTCTCTCCCTCTCTCTCTTTTTCTCTCTTTGCCCCTTGCTCATTTGTGCCTTCTCTCTCTCTCAAAAAAAAAAAAGAAAAAAAAAATATATATATAAAGAAAAATCATTTGAAAGGCGGTTTCATATGTCTTGCCTCTTTATACCATTAATACATCAGTGTGTATTTCCTAAGAACAAGGAAATTCTCTCATATAACCACAAATGAGGAAAGTAAACATTAATATCATACTTATACACTTACATCTTATCCATAGTCCATTTTTTGAACGAAGAGTCCATTCTGAAGTTTTGTCCATTGCCCCAATAATAGCACTGACAGCAATTTTTCCAAGTACGGAATCTGGTCCAGAATTGCATCGTGTGCTCGGTTATTGTGTCTCTTCCGTCCTCTTGAGTCTGAAATTTTCTTCTGCTTTTCTTTGCTCTTCATGACATTACCGTTCATCTGGGGTTTTATTAAGATCCTTCAATTTGGGTTTTCCTAATGTTTCTTTTCGATTGCATTCAGGTTATTCATTTTTGCCAGTGACACCACAGAAGCGATGCTGTGTTTCGTGCCCTTTCTCCATGAACCTCAGCCAGAGGCCCCTTGTCGGTGATATTTGCTTTGATCCCTCGGTTATATTACTGCCTGGTGTCTCCAGACTGTATGTTTACATATGTTTTGGGAGAATCATTATTTCACCTAACGTTACATTGTTAAGACATATCCATATCGTTTTGTGTCACGCTCTTCTCTCTCTTTTTCCCACACCCACCCACAGACACATACACACCCACCTACACTCACACGCACACGCATGCGTTTTCTTCTTTTTTCCTTCCTGTCTCTCGTTTTCCGGAAACATTCTTACTCAATCAGTTTGGAAGTATTCAACTCCCAGCTGAAGGACGTACCTTCTTTTCTTCAGTTACTGTAGACTAAACCTCCAGAGATTGGCATAAAGTTGCCAAAATTATGTGTTGTGATGAAAACAGATGGCTTAGCAAAGAAGCAGACATCAAAGAGATCAAAAACGAATGCCTCGCCTTTCACTCACTCAACCAAAGAACCAACCTGACATTTATTAACTGAGTGATTGTTATGTCCCCAGTACCATACTTGACTAGATGGGGACATATAAAGTGCAAAACCGCCAAGGGCTTAGAAGCCCAACACTCCCCTCTCTCAGCAGTGCACCTGTCGACCCCTCTCTCGTGCTTCAAGGCACAGCTCAAATGTCACCTCCTTAAGCTAACACTTCTGGCACCTACCTTAAGTACCTTAATTGAGTACCTACTACTTTTTCAAGTACAGTGTTATATACTTTTCCTCATAGTAGTTATGGAAGGTAGGTGCTACAATTTTTATTTGTCCAATGACTAGACTGAGACTCAAAGTTTTCAAGGCCTTGTAAGCAGTCACACAGCTGTTTCCGGACCAGGCCAGAACTGGTGCTCAAGCCTGACTTCAGGGTTGATCCATATCTTCTCACTATTCCACAGTGAGTCCTAACAGAGTCAGTGCTTTGTCCTTAAAACTGGTAACATCTTGCTTATAGTTCAAACACCATGGTTATTACCCCGTATCACAGTTCTCTTCACATCCCTCCCATGTGATGGATTTTGAGTTACTTAAGCATAAGAATAAAGTCCATGCTCAATTTTGAGTCCCCAGAATTTGGCAGAGTAACTACAAAGGACAGTCAATCTTCATTATTCATGGATTCCATATCTGAGAATTTGTTAAAGTTTATTTGTCATCCAACAATCAACATCAGGGGCACTTTTGTGAACATGCCCGTGGTCACAGGATGAAAACTTGGAACGGCCCCACTCATACACTCCAAGTCGACAGCCAATGAGGTATTTCTCTGTCTTCCTGTTTCAGCTCTCAGACTGCAAACACGTGTCCTCGTAGCCACCTTTTTGCCACTTTTTTTTCTTTTATAATTTTGTACTTTTTGCTGGTGTTTTCACTGTTCAAAATGGCCCACAAGCATTGTGCTGAGGTGCTGACCAGTATTCCTAGGCACAAGAAGGCTGGGATGTGCCTTCCAGAGAAAATACGTGTGTTAGATACGCTTCCTTCAGGCTTGAGTTATTAGTGCTGTTGGCTGTGATTTCAATGTTAATAAGTCAACAATATATATTAAATAAGGTGTCCTTAAATAAAAGCATATATAAACAGGTTACGTATTGATTGGTTTACAAAAACATTGTGGCCAGAGGCTGGTAGGAACCTAACCCTGTATTTTCCCCTAGGAGCAATGGTTTGTTACTGCTAATTCAGTGTTTGTGGGGACTTTGTAGAACATAATTACTGTGACTAGTAAGAACTGACTATAGTGGGTGGTAAATAAATGCATGGGGGGGAAATGAAGGAAAGAAGACATCTGTTGGAGAAATGACATTAACTGATGAAAAGCTTCTCCAGGAACCCACGTGAAAAACCAAAATGATCGAGAAAATTTTATATAGATATAGTAAAGAAGTGTCAGATTATGTAGTATAGGCAGAAAATCAATTATTATATAATAATAACACACAGAAGGAAGGGATAATAAATGTACATTTCTCAATGGGAAGAAAATGTTCTGTGACAATTTGTTTCCAAAAGAATGAATATTTATTATACAAATTCAAGCATTTCCGGCTGCCCTGAATTTAACACTCCATAGTTTTTAGCATTTTTCCTTTGCATCTCACTGAGCACATTAAAAAAGCTATATATTTTATGTCCGGAAAAATATAATAGTACAACTTTTTTTTGAGGGGGTGAAGAGAACGAGCAAGGGAGGAGCAGAGGAAGAGGGATAAAGAGAGACTCTTAAGCTGGGTGTGGAGCCCGCATGGGTCTAGATTTCATGACCCTGAGATCACGACCTGAGCTGAAATCAAGAGTTGGATGTTCAACGGACTTAGCCACCCAGGTGCCCCGGTACCACATTTTTTAACCACAAAAGTTTTCAAGAACTCACTGTATAACTCTTCCAAATTTTTTATTATTAAATGTTTTTTTACCGACTGACAGAATGATTCGATCCATTTTTAGAGAAAAATACACTGGAATATCTCTGAGCTCTTCGTAAAGCAAGGAAGAGGAATTTGTTTGCTCTTTCTACTGACTTTATAGAGCAGATTCTACACTGTGGCATGATGGGAAAGGGCCTGACCTGCCAGTTCCTTATCCATATGATTGTGGTAAAAGCAGACATAACATTATGGCTCAAACAGAACAAAGATGAGCTTACAAAGTACATGGTATAAATAATTCCAGAGCTTTGGGACACAGATCTCTTTTTTTCAAGACACGAATCTCATGTAACCATAATCATGATTGGTGGTGGGGAATTTTAAAAACAGAGTCTTCTCTAAGCCCTCCAGACTTAGTTATACCACAGCTAAATCAGGTGATTCCAACACATGATTCACATCCCACAAAAAATGAACTGTTTACAAAAATAAGTCTCCCAAAGGACAAAGTAGCCTTTTCTCAAATCCATTCAAATTTTTAAGCCAATCTTCCTATGTTTTGTTTGACATAACTACCATATTTCCTATGCTAAAATACGAGGTTCATACACACACAGGGGTCTGACACAGTTTAAATGCAACTTTGCCTTTAGTGCATGTAGGTCAGGAATCAAGTCTGTTGGTATAGTGATCGATACACACATATATCTTTTATTATGAAAATCTTCAACCACACTCAAAAATGGTAGGAGAAAGAATACAACAAACTCCCATTTACCAACCACACAACTATATTTTCAAATACAAGGAAAAGATCCTAGAGCTTCCTACCTTGTCCCATCTACACCTAGAGCAAACAATAACAGCACCAACAACACTGAATGCTTTGCAGAATATGAGCTGTTGGACTTGTAAACACTTTGAATTTCAACCTGAAATGCCCAGCGGGGTGGCTGCATAGAGTTTTCCTAAGTCCCTTGCATAATAAAAATTGATGACTATGAAAATCTGATTTCAAACATTTTTTATTGTTATAAAGTTATGCATTTTCATTTTGTAAAATTGGCAAATGCAATCACATAAATTAGCATGTGGATGGGTATTTTATGGTATAATGAAATAAATGTTCATTTTCTTTGGTGTGATAATAGTATTACAGTTAAGTAGGAATAGTTATTTTTAGGAGACTTATAATAAAGCATTCGAGGAAGAAATGTTATGTCTGTAACTTGGTTCAGCAATGGTATCTGTGTGTGTGTGTGTGTGTGTATAGATCCAGAGTTGACCAACTTTTTCTGTAAAGAGCCAGATAGAGATAGTAAATGTTTTAGGCTTTGCAGACCAAGATACAAAATCAAGGATATTTTATAGATAACAATATAACCAGCTAAACCTGAAAGCATAAAAACCCTTAACTCAGGGCTGTACAAAAACAGGTGATGAGTCAAATTTGGTGACCATAGTTTGAGTCAGATGACCATAGTTTGGGAACTTTTGATGTAACAGATAGATACATCGATGATAGAAGATAGTGGGTAGGTATGTTGGTAGATAGATAGATAATAGATAGATAGGCAAATATAGGGAAAGATTAACAGTTATTGAATCTTAGTAGAGAGAATATGGATGTTTGTTGTACTAGTTTTTAAAATGTTCTTTTTGTTTGAAGATTTTCATAATAAAAAGTTGGGGGGAAAGCAAATACATAAAAATACAATGAAAATAAATATCACCCATAATACAAGCACCTCAAGATTATTGACACCATCAACATCTTGGTCAATTTGCTTTTCTTCTCTTTTCTTCTTCTTTTTTTTTTTTTTTTTTTTTTTTGGTTTATTTATTCAAGAGAGGGAAAGAGCACTGGAGGGGAGGGGCAGAGAGAAGGAAAGACAGAATCCCAAGCAGGCTCCATGCTGTCAGCACAGAACCCAATGCAGGGTTTGAACCCACGAACCTCGAGATCACGACCTGAGCTGAGATCAGGAGCCCGACACTTAACCGACTGAGCCATCCAGGTGCCCCAAGTTGCTTTTATTTTTAATTCCTGGAGTGTGCAGAGTCTGTATTTTTTCCAATGATAATGAGATCCTACCTCATATAAAGTTTTACAGCTTGCCATTTCGTTTCACAATTTTTCCTTTTTTTTTTTTCATTTCGCAGTTTTTCATAAGCATTTTCACATGTGGTAATTATATTAATGGACTCATAATATCCTACTGAAAAATTTTTTTAAGCGTCTTAATTATTTCTCAATTATTGAACATTTAATTCATTTTCTATTCTTCACTCACGTAAGAATTTCTTAATGTGACTTTTATTTGAGAGAGAGAGAGAGAGCAAATGGGGGAGGGGGCAGAGGAAGAGAGCGAGAGAATCTCAAGCAGGCTCCACACCCAGTATGGAGCCCGATGAGGGGTTCGATCCCACACAACCCTCTCTGTCTCTCAAAATAAATAAATAAACATGAAAAAACAAAGTAACCATGCCCTGTCACTCTCTACCCTAACTTCCTACTGCTCATCATCACTCAGCCTTGAGTGTGTTTATTTGCCTTTGTTGGTGCCTCCAGTTGGATGTAAATTTCAGGAGGGCAGGGGATTTGCCTGGCAATGGTCACCGCTCTTACCCCTGTGTTATACACTTAGTAGCTGTTCAATAAATATGTGTTGAATAACGGGATGAGTGAATACCAGTCTGGGGCCCATGAATGAATACTTGAGACTTGGTCTTCATTTGCCATTAAGATATAGATCTTCTCTCAGGCTTCTCAGGTTCTCATATTTGGTATATTTGCTATAGTTTTGATTACGCCACACTGTAATTCCTCTTGCCCATCTATTATGTGTGTGAGTTAATAGATGTTGTTTCTTTCTGTTTTTTATTTTGAAAAATCGTAAAGCAGTGGACAAGTTACAAGAGTAGTATAATGACCACTATATTCCTTCCACCGAGCCTCACCAATTGCCAACAGTTTAACACATTTTCTTTATCGCCTCCCATATATTTATTATTTTTATTGTTATGTTGAGACTCTTGACCACATGACTCTTAAATTTCTTAGGAAACCATCTGAGAACCACAACAGAGCGGACTTCCTGAGGGTTTCCAATTTTCACTTTAAACGTCCTCTGAGACCTAACTGATCTTGGGTGGCAGGAAAAAGATGAAAGAAGTACATATTTACAAACCCAGGAGCTATTTTTAAAGACAAGTTCAAATCAAAAGCTTCGCTTGCCATCCAAAAGTTATATCGTGTTTTGGGAGCTAGGTTTAATAGATCTCTAACGCTTTACTTACCCTGTGAAGACACAGCATGGAGAGAGAAAGAGAGGTTCTGCCCCAAATCCATTTTACCAAAAGGGGCATGTGACACGCCCGAGTGTCGCATCGCACCTGGGTTGTAATTTAACTTTCTCTTTACGCAGGTGGGGCTCTGGCTCTAGTCTCATCCCAGCTTAGTGGGGAAATTCAACCAAAGCGGCGTTGGACTGTGTCTTCTTTAACTCTACTGCCATCTAGTGTGGAGAGAACAGAATTTGGGGCTCTGCGAAAAAGAGAAGGTGAATGTGTACTCTTTGTTTCCGTATCTGGATTCAAAGCCTGTCCGACTGCTGCATAAACTACCATGGCCTTTTTCCTTGGATTTGGGTGAAGGAAAGTTTCTAAGAAAAAAATATATACTTTAAAAATTAGACTGTATTTCACACTATTTTGAAAACAGGCTAGACAAGAAGGCTTGCTTTTCTAATTTTTTTTTTAAGATTTTGTTTTTCAGTAATTTTATTCTGAGTAATCTCTACATGCAACATGCTGGGGGGGGGGGGGGACGCTCAAACTCACAACACTGAGATCCAAAGTCACGTGGTCTACTGACTGAGCCACCAGGGCGCCCCATGGCTTGCTTTTCCCAGTGAAACCCTCTGGCCCATTTGGCCTCACAAATGATTCCTACATCATCCCTTCTCACTCCAAGGGCATACTCAGGTCTTCAGCGGGGCATTTTCCTTCTTTCCAGTGGGACAGGCTAGAAAGAGGGAAGAGAAAAGAGGGAAACCAAGAAGAAAGCCAAAGGCAAAAGGAAGGGAATGATGGGAAAAATAATAATAAAGACACTAAAAGAGACCAAGGAGTGGGACACAAATACAAGAAAGTGCAGAAGGAAAAGCATGCAACGTTAAAACGAGACACCCAGGAGCCGAGAAAGGCAGAAATACGAGGGAAAATGTCAAGGATCCAAGGTAAAAAGAGGCAAAGAAAGAAATGGAAAAGGCGAAGGGTTGTGCCCACAGTTGGTTGGCCCTGCTTTGCCCCACAAGGGACCACAGGAGGACACACACCCGCTCCCCACTCTTTCCTCAGACTCGCCGCCTCCTTCCATTCAGGACCATTGGTGTCCACCCCACTGGGATGGAAGCTTCCATAGAGCGGAGGTTTTTACTGCCCCCCCAGCCCCTTTTTGTTCATTGATGTATCCCCAGTGTTTGGAACAACACCTGGCACACACATGAACCACGTGCGGTAAATATTCATCGAACAAATGAAGGAATGTGGGGCCGCTCTAGACATGGATGTGAAGATGTATTTGCAACGTTGGCTTTGCTTGGTGACTGTGACACCTTTTCTCCTGGCAAGACCACATTCTCATTTGCAGGCCACCGCCTGGTTTTTCACACACCCTTCTTGCTCTAGGCCAAGTGTTTATGTCCCCACAAAATTCATATAGATTGAAACCTAATGCCCAATCTGATGCACGGTATTTGGAAGGTGGGGCCTTGGGCAGGTGCTCTGGTCATGAGAGTGGAGCCCTCGTGAAAAGGGATTGGTGTCCTCAGAAGAGAGGCCTGACAGAACTGCCTCACCCCTTCCTCCATGTGAGGACAGTTAGAAGTCTGTGACCTGGAACAGGGCCCTCACCCAACCATGCTGGCTCCCTGATCTCAGGCTTTCACCTTAAGGACCATGAGAAATAAATTTCTGTTGTTTGAAACCACCCAGTCTGTGATATGCTGTTACAGTGGCCCAAATAGATCTAAACGCTACCCTTCTGAGGAGACAAGCCCTTCTTAGAAGTCACTGACTATATTTCCACTCACGTCAACATTCCTCTGAGAGGTATATTCTGACATCAAAAACAGTTATCAGGGCACCTGGCTGGCTCCGTCGGTAGAGCATGGGACTCTTGATCTCAGGGTTTTGAGTTTGAGCCCCACATTAGGCATAAAGCTAACTTTATTTTTTTAATATTTTAAAGTTTATTTTTGAGAGAGAGAGAGCAAGCAGGGAGGTGCAGAGAGAGAAGGAGACACAGAATCTGAAGCAGGTTCCAGGCTCTGAGCTGTCAGCACACAGCCTGATGTGGGGCTCAAACTCACTGACCATGAGATCACCACCTGAGCTGAAGTTGGACGCTTAACCAACTGAGTCACCCAGGCGCCCCTGTTGAGCTTACTTAAAAAAAAAAAAAAAAAAAAAGAACGGGGTGCCTGGGTAGCTCACTGGGTTGAGTGTCCAACTCTTGATATCATCTCAGGTCATGATCTCATGGCTCATGGGTTTGAGCCCTGCCTTGGGTTTCGCGCTGACAGTGAAGAGCCTACTTTGGATTCCCTGTCTCCCCTTCTCTCTGCCCCTCCCCCACTTGTGCTCACTCTCTTGCTCTCTCTCTCTCAAAAATAAATAAACTTTAAAAAAAAGAAATCTACTTATTGCTTACAATAGATGATAGATAATTTAAAAAGAAAAGAAAGGGGGAAAAAACCACAAAGCAAACTAGAGAAGATAGAGATTCTCATCTCAGGCTGAATCTTAGAAAGAATGTTCTGGAGGAAGTAAAGCAAGTTATATAAGGTTGTCTCGCTTTCTTTCTATTTAATAATCTCCATTTAAAATCTCTCCTTTCCTGATGTTTTCATCCTTGTAAGTTATACTGTATGTCTTCATATCTTTCCAATCCCTAGCTCAGCTAAAGCAATAACTGAATTTCTTTTTTTAATTAAAAAAAAATTTTTTTTGTTAATGTTCATTTTTGAGACAGCATGAGTGGGGGAAGGGCAGAGAGAGGAGGAGACACAGAATCGGAAGCAGGATCCAGGCTCCGAGCTGTCAGCACAGAGCCCGATGCAGGGCTCGAACCCATGAGCCGTGAGTTCATGACCTGAGCTGAAGTCAGACACCCAACTGACTGAGCCACTCAGGTGCCCCTTGTGATACCTGAATTTCTGAACCTTGACCATCAGAACTCTAAAGAGCTTGTTTTAAAACTTATTTGGGGGGCGCCTGGGTGGCTCAGTCGGTTAAGCGGCCGACCTCGGCTCAGGTCATGATCTCGCGGTTCGTGAGTTCGAGCCCCACGTGGGGCTCTGTGCTGACAGCTCAGAGCCTGGAGCCTGTTTCAGATTCCGTGTCTCCCTCTCTCTGACCCTCCCCCGTGCATGCTCTGTCTCTCTCTGTCTCAAAAATAAATAAACGTTAAAAAAAATAAAAAAAAAACTTATTTGGGAGTTAGAAGATGGCATGAAAAGATATCGAAGTCTTTAAGAAAGGAATGCAGAAAGGAAATGCTTAAGGAAGGTGGTTTTCCGTCTGAAATTTGGAAAATGTCTGTGATTCTGGCACTTTGTTGCGCTAATTGGAAGCATTAGAGAAAGCTCAATTCACTATTCAAAAATCACCAAGAGGGGCGCCTGGGTGGCGCAGTCGGTTAAGCGTCTGACTTCAGCCAGGTCACGATCTCGCGGTCCGGGAGTTCGAGCCCCGCGTCAGGCTCTGGGCTGATGGCTCGGAGCCTGGAGCCTGTTTCCGATTCTGTGTCTCCCTCTCTCTCTGCCCCTCCCCCGTTCATGCTCTGTCTCTCTCTGTCCCAAAAATAAATAAACGTTGAAAAAAAAAAATCACCAAGAAAGAATTTTTTCAAGTATCTCATGAATGGGTCAATTTGCACTGGATGGAGATACAAAGGCTAATTTGGAAATCAGGTCCTTAGACATGCTTGTAAAATGTAGCTGGTTTTCCATGTGCTCACGCAAATCTGTCTTGGCCGCTGGTTTTGCTTTCAGATCACACATCCTAATTTTCCAAGTGTTCACACCTTCGCTATCGAATTTGTCCTCCTGTTATGTCAGTGGTGTCGATGGGACCAGGTGTTATCTTTGACTGCACTTGTTTTGTGGCTTTTAAGTAGGGAAGCTGAACTCTTCTTATTTTCCCGTCTCCTCCGCAGCCTCCCAAGGTCATGGGCATGACTGTCATGCCAGCACAGGACCAGGGGGCTCTCCCACCTTCCACCAGATCATTCTGGGTCCTGGAGTGAATTTCATTCCTCTGTGAGTTATAGTGGGCGAATGCAGCAGAAACCTTAGATCTCAACTGGGGACTTCTGAATGGTTTGCTGAAAACAGCTTGTGACAACGAGGACAGCTTGGTCATCATCTGTGTGACCATGGGTAAATTGACTAAACTCTGTGGGCTTTAGATTCCTCATTTGTAAAGTGATCATGCAGATCTGTGTGGTCTTCAAGGTAGTAGATTCTAGACGATGAGTCCATGGGTCAGTTTGAAAAAAAAAACAAACCTTTTTAATTTTAAGGATTAACATGGGGGTTAATTTTCAAGATTAACAAGGATTAAGGATTTAACTCTTTGTTTTTGAAATAAATTCAAGATATCGACAACTGCAACCATCTACTCATCCCTCCTCTCACCCTGGCTCTAACCAGAGGAGAATTGACACAGAGATTCACATGAGGACCCGAAAAACCACTTTATTAGGGGGTTGGTCAAGTGCCAAAAGTCCCACAGAGTAATAGGGAAACTCATAAAGCTGAATAAGGGAACACCTGCTGGCCTCTCTCGATGAGTTGGATTTAACAACCACGCCTGATGACAGTCACATGCAGAGCAGCCTATCAGGGGAGTGCTTCTTCTACGTAGATTAGTCTGGGCTTCTGTTCCCTGCCCCTGCCCCTGGTGGTTGCTTCTAGAGGCTGTGAGATGGGCAGCTGAGCTAGTACCCCAGAAGGCTCTGAAACAGGTCAAAACAGAATATTGAGATACCTTCAAAGCCATATGCACCATAAACCAAAATTCAATGCCTTTTTCTGTTTTCCATCTCAAATGACGTTCCACTCAATGATCAATATCACTCTTGGAGATCTTACAATGAATACCAGTCAAAAGTCTAAAAACTCCAAATGATAACAAAGCCAGTTCGTTGGGCATCTGACTCTTGATTTCAGCTCAGGTCATGATCTCACAGTTCGTGAGTTCAAGCCCCATGTCAGGCTTGCATTGACAGTGAGAAGCCTGCTTGGGATTCTCTCTCTCTCTCTTTCTCTCTCTGCTCCTCCCCAGCTCATTTTCTCTCCCTCCCTCCCTCTCTCTCTCTCTCTCAAAATAAATAAATAAACTTTTT